CAGCCCCGCGGGGAGCACGCGCGCAGGTGCGTGGGCGGTGCCCATGGCTGCGGGGGCCCCATGCCCGTGCCCTGACACCGCCAGGTGCCCCAGCTGTGAACCCAGCTTGCATCTTATACCTGTGAGAGCGCAGGAGGTCGAGGAGCACAAGCTGGTGGCGAGGCCACTGCGCCTGACCCGCTCCCCGGCGTTGGCGGAGGCGGCGGGGGCCGCTCCGCGGGCTTCCATAATTCCTGGGGTCCGTCTTCTGAAGCCCCCAGAGCTGCACGGTGATGGGGGCAAACCCCCACCGCACCCCCTTCCGCCCCGACCCCGGGGACAGCAGGGTCACCTTTGCAGAGGGGAGCCCTCTCCCTCCCGGCCCGGCTCTCCCAGTTCCCTGACCTCCCCGCACGGCGCTGGACGCGAACACTCAGACAATACGTGGAAAGATGCGGACTCCACCGTCTCACCCCACCTGCCGGGGCCGGGATCGGGTTCCGCTGCACGCGCGGGGTCCCACCACGACTCTCGGGGGTCTCGGAAGGCCCTTCCGGGGGCGGCGGTGCGGACGGCCTGCGGCGGTCGCTGCGCAGGGCCCGACCCTTTCAACCTGCCGGGGAGCGTCTCCCGGGGCGCGGGTACCGCAGCCGCAGCACGCAGTCCCGGGTCCGCTGCGCTTTCGGCGCTGGGGACGCGGGGCCCCAACTGCCGAATGGGAGAAAATATTTACAGACCACAGGTCTGGTGGGGGTTAACCTCCAACTACGCGCACACTTCGTTTGGTGGCGCTTCACTTGCCTCCCCGCCCCCGCAAATGTAACGGCGACAGCCCTCCATCAAGAGGGGTGCTGGCGCCACTTTCCAACACTTGCTCACTTGGGTTTTCGACCTCTTCATTTCAACCTTTTTCAGCATTAGTTTGTTTTTAAAAGATTTTATCTATCTGAGAGAAAGAGCGCGACAGAAGAAGGCACGAGTGTGGTGGAGAGGGAGAAGCAGGCTCCCCGCGGACAGGGAGCCCAATGTGGGGCTCTTCCCAACTCAGGACCGTGGGATCACGACCTGAGCGGAAGGCAGATGCTCAACCGACTGAGCCACACAGAGGGGCTCCTAAAATGTCATATTGCTGTATCTGGTTGCCACAGAATGAGCCTTTAAGGCTTGAGAATGAGTACGTTTGATTTTGGATCTCTTCCAGCTTGAAAACTGCATTATTTTAGTGCTTACGTCTAGCCTGGGGAACTGTCGCTAGAATTTCAGTATCTAAAAGGCAAGTGGCGAACGAGTCCATCTTAGAGGAGACGTGAATCTGGAAAGAAGCTTGATAATCATCCAGTAGGAAATGGAGATGCTATAATAAAATACTTCACAAATTGACCTCTGGTAAAAAGAAGAGATCAATGACAGAATTCCTTAAACGCAAACAATTTTATGTGGTGTTGCTGTCATTTCAATGCAGAATGTAAGGAAGACTAGTAGTGTCTCAGAGGACACCCAAACCTTTCCTGTACTGAGGTAAGCTCAGCATCTGCCTCACATACTCTACAACTCTCCAACCAAAATCAATCTCATATTCACTCTTTGGGTTTATTTTGGTGTAGGTATTTTTATTTCAACCTTTACTTGGAAAAAACTGTAGGAACAATGGAATGAGAGCTGTATTCCTTTCCCCTAGACTTGCCTATGAATGCTTGCCACTTGCTCTCTCCTTCATATACATCTTTACTGCTCTTATCTGCTAACCCACTATCCCCCGTGAAAATGTGCTGCAGGGGCCCCTGTGTGCCTCAGTTGGTCAAGTATCTGCCTTTGGCTTAGGTTAGAACCCCAGAGTCCTGGGACGGAGAGACCCTGGCTGGGCTCCCTGCCCACCGGGGACTTCTGCTTCTCCCCCTACCCCCAGCTCATGCTCTCTCTCTCTCAAATAAATAAAATCTTTTTAAAAAGAAGAAAATGTGCTGCAGTACCAAGAACCTTTACCCCTAAACACTTCAACATGTACCTTCTCAGAGCAGAGACATTGTCTTATGACACATTACAATGACTGACTCAGGAAACCAGACCCTGAGGCAATGCTATTACTAAACATATAGTATGTGTTTATGCCAACTGTCCCAGTAATGCTCTTCACATATTTTATTCCAATCTAGGATCCAACCTGAGATCACACTGACTTTAGTCACTATATTTCTTTAATCTCCTTTAATCTAAAACAATTCCTCAATGCTTCTCCTTTATAACATAGATACTTTCGAAGAACACAGGCCGGTTTACCCCAAATTTGGGTTTGTCTGATGTCTCATGACTAGATTCGGGTTACACATTTTTGCCAGAAGTACCGCAGAAGTCATGATGTGTCCTTAGTGAAGCAATCGTATCAGAAGTTCATCCTGTTCCTAGTTGTTTGATCACTTGGCTAAGGTGTTGTTTGCCAGATTTCTCCATGGCAAAGATGTCCTTTCGCCTGGATTATGTGTTTGAACTTGGGCCGACAGCTCCTCAAGCGGGATGGTCAGGAACCACTGACCACCAGCGCCTGCAGGATCAGCGCCTTGTGGGCCCCTGGCCTCCGCCGCTGGTGATTATTTATCTGCACAAGGAACCTCCTTCCCTTCCTTCCTTCAGTATCTACGCAGCAACTAATACCTGTCAGGTACTGCTCAAAGTGCTGAGATAGACAGAATAAAAACGGTCCTGCTCTCAGCTCAAGCTGATCCGGAGGCCTCCCCCGCTGGGTAGGTAACAAAAAGCCAATGCAGACTTGTAAGAATGCTCTGTTTAATCCCCCATACCTATTTGGAATGTCTGTATTGTTGTCTAGGGCTGTTCTCAAAAGAAGGCTGGACAAAGCCTATTTCTTGGAGAGAAATGTAGAGAGTATATGTGGGTCGAAAGCCAGTTCAAAGTAACAGCTTTTTTTTTTTTTTAAGATTTTATTTATTTATTTGACAGACAGAAATCACAAGTAGGCAGAGAGGCAGGCAGAGAGAGAGAGAGAAGGGGAAGCAGGCCCCCCGCCAAGCAGAGAGCCCGACGCGGGACTCGATCCCGGGACCCTGAGATCATGACCTGAGCCGAAAGCAGAGGCTTAACCCACTGAGCCACCCAGATGTCCCTCAAAGTAACAGCTTTTATCAAGGACAATGATGCTGTATAGAGAGAAACATCCCCAAACATAAACAAATCGAGATGGGCTTTTTTTTCTTTTTTTTTTAAAAAGCTTTTATTTATTTGACAGAGAGATAGAGAGTACAAGTAGGCAGAGCGGCAGGCAGAGGGAGAGGGAGAAGCAGGTTCTCCGCCATCAGGGAACCTGGTGTGGGGGTCGATCCCAGGACTCTGGGATCATGACCTGACCTGAAAACAGCTGCTTAACTGACTGATCCACCCCAGGCGGCCCTCAAGATGGACTTCTAAAAACACGTTCAAGTAACCCACAAGAAGGCAGGGAAGAGAAACCACAGAAATGCAACACAGGGAATAAGAAAAAAAAAATAGCGGACTTAAGCCTTAAAATACCAATGATTTCATTAGATGGAAATCATTTCTATCCACCAATTAAAAAACAAAGATTGGGGGTCTGAATTCAAAAACGTCACCCAAGCATATGCGGTCTATAAGGACCTCACTTTAAATTTAATGATATAAGTAAACTGAAAGTAAAAGGACGGAAAAAGATACATCAGGCAAACCTCAATCCAAGAAAAGGAGAAGCAGGGATTATACTTTTGCTGGCTGTCTAGATTTCGCAAGGTGTTGCAGAAAATGTTAGTAATGTACATCACACTTAAAAATGTCAGATCTAAAGCTTTTACACTGTGGGTAGCACAGAAAAATGAGAAAATACTCTTCCATTATTTGAAAAACACCATGAGCTTCAGCAAAGAAGTCCCTCATGTCATTGCCTGAGGGTTGAAGCTGAAAGAGGTTTCAGTTGTATAATTTGTAGGACGGTAAAATGCTGGAATGAAAGGTTTGGTTTTTCCCTCTTTCCTTTTGTCCTTCTCAGTTGTGGACTCAAGGAGTATATTCACAAGGAGAAAAGTCTGCCTTGGGCTTTCGCCCTAAAGGCCCCACTAGATTTTGAGCTACTGGAGGCCAATACCCTTCTGTTCTCCCTATCAGTAAGACTGTAACGCGTCCTCTGTTCACCCAGAAATGGCAATGCTAGGGGTGGGGATCAGGAGGCATCTGCAGACTACCCACTTCTGGTCAGAGGCTTGCTTAGGGAGGTAGGGAAACGGGCAAGTCATCTCACACGTCCCAAGCTTGGATATGCTGGTGTCCTCGACTGGTACTCAGAGTAGTAATTTCAATGCTGGGAATGGCTAAAGCTAGCAAGAAATCCAAATGGTTCCGGGTGCCTGGGTGGCTCAGTCGTTAAGTGTCTGCCTTTGGCTCAGGCCATCATCCCAGTGTCCTCAGGTTGAGCCCCGTGTCTGGGTCCCTGCTCAGTGGGAGCCTGCTTCTCCTTCTCCTTCCTGTTCATGCTCTCTTTTTGCTATCACTGTCTCAAAAAAAATCTTAAAAAAAAATGGTTTGATAAAACATAAAAAAAACTCATGAATTCAGTAGAAAAATATAATTTATTACAGCTGCCCTTGTGTATTTTTTCATCATACTAATTAATATTTCATTATAGTTAATAAAAGTAATCACAGGTAAATTTCTTGTTGATATTTCTTTTCCTAAATTCTCAACTCTTCCAGTATTTATGGCCTTTATAAAAACTCTTTGATGTGGCATCTCTGATTTTCTTTAAATAATGAAGTTCAAGAAACATTTTATTTCAGATTTTAAAAGTCCTGGATTCTTCCTGAAGTTGTCACCTAACACCTGGGCAAGGTGTCCAGTTGTCCTGAATTCTCTGGTCCTGAATCAGGGCTGAATTCCCATGGCAGGCTCCACACCGTCACTCCGCTGCCAGGGCCTAGCACAGTGTGGCCCCTCAGATCTTGGAGAGCGGTGCTCACTGCCTGCCGGGCTTCCCACACTCTTCACATTGACAGGGTTTTTCCTCAGAGTTCCCTCAGACTCTTATGTTTATTGAGATCTGGCTTCCAACTGAAGACCTGCCCACATTTCAAACACTCAAAAGGTTTCTCTCCTGTGTGGATTCTGAGACAGTGACTCAGACCCGTCTTCTGACTAAAGGCTTTGCCACACTCTTTACATTGATGGGACTTCACCTTGGTGTGAATCCCCTGGTGTTCGATAAGATGCTCTCCCCTTGTGAAGGGCTTCCCACACTCAGACCACTGGCAGGTTTTATCCCCAGTATGGATTCTTTTATGGTTCTGCAGGCCAGTTGACTGAGTAAAGGAATTCCCACACTCATCACACTTACATTTTCTTGGCTCAGGGTGGTTCCCGTGCTTCCCTCCTAAGCTGTGTTTACGAAGACCCGAGCACTGACTGAAGTCTTCACCACACTCACCGCATTTACAGGGCTTCTCTCCAGTGTGACTTCTTTGATGTACGATCAGGGTTGAGCTCACACTACAGGCTTCCCACACTCAGCGCGCTCGTAGGGCCTTTCCCCCAAGTGGATTCTGTGATGGATCATGAACTCTGAGCTCCGGCTAAAGGCTTGTCCACACACAGGACGTTTAAAGTTTCTCTCCCGTATGGATTCTCTGGTGTTGGTTAAGTCCTGCATCCTGAGTGAAGGCTCTTCCACACACTCTACTTTCATAGGGTTTTTCTTCACTGAATTTGCCAATGCCCAGTAAGGTGTGAGCATTGCCTGAAGGTTTTCCCACACTCATTAGATTCATAAGGTTTCTCTTTGCTGTGGAATTGCTCACGTTCACTGAGGTCTGAAGTATGGCAGAAGGCTTGCCCGCAGTCTGCACACGCAAAAGTCTTTCTGCAGTATGGGGTCTTTGATGCTTTGTAAGAATAGATCTCCGACTAATACACCGGCCACATTTGCTACACTGAATGGCTCTTCTCCAGTGTGGAGTTTGAGATGTTGGAAAAGGCCTGAGTTCTGACTGAAACCCTTGCGACACTCTTTACAGTGATAAGGCTTTTTGTTGCTGTGAAGCCCCTGGTGCTGGGTAAGTTCTGCAGGTCTGATGAAGGCCTTTCCACATTCCAAACAGGAGTCTGGTTTCTCCCCAGTATGGATCCTCCTATGCACGGGAAGGCCTCTTATCTAGATGAAGGTTTTCCTACATTCCTTACATGTGTGTATTTTTTTTTTTACCTGTGGCATGTCCATTCTGCATTTCCAAATTTCCATTAGGCTGTCTCCTGTGTATTTGGCAAGCTGAGACACATTTCCATCATGTGTGTACATTTGTATGTGTGTACATAATACACTCATATATGTAGCAACGCACATATGCATGCCTGTACTTGTATTTATATATTCATATGTATATAGAAGACATGTACAACAAAAACAAAAAAATTATGTTAAGATCAAACATAATTGTCCTAACAGACATATTGATAAATGCAAATGACTTAACTCATTAAAAACATTTAGATTTGATCACAGACCAAAAATCAGCTCTATCATATCTATAGGAGACACACATGCAACATAATGATTGAGAAAAATTATGGATAAAGGATGGAGAAGGCTATGTTAAGCAAAGGCAAATAAAAAGAAGGCATCACGATTTCAATTTCAGAGAAAGGGGAGATTCAGGCCAAAAGCATGAAATGAGACAGAGGACTACTTAAAAGTGCTAAAATATAGAACACGATTTGCAATGCAGATGTAACAAACATGAATAATTATGCAGAAAATAAAAGAGTGATAACTTTCCTGAACTAGAAAGTATAGGTGATATAAAAAGAAACAGACAAAACAAAGAACAGACTTTAATCGTCCTTTCTTTTCTTTTTTTTTTTTTAAAGATTTTATTTATTGATTTGACAGAGAGAGATCACAAGCAGACAGAGAGGCAGGCAGAGAGAGAGAGAGGGAAGCAGGCTCCCCGCTGAGCAGAGAGCCCGATGCGGAACTCGATCCCAGGACCCTGAGATCATGACCCAAGCCGAAGGCAGCGGCTTAACCCACTGAGCCACCCAGGCGCCCTTAATCGTCCTTTCTATATCTGAAAAATGCCAAATGGATAAAAAATATTGATAAAGAATATTCAGAAAATGAACTCAATAAATTTAATCTTATAGATACACATGTATGTCAAATTCTGATCCTGAAAATAGAACTTTCAGATGTGCAATGAACATTAATGAAAACTACTGGGTCACAAGAAAACCATAATAAATTAAAAAAAAAATAGGAATCACACTAACACTCTATGATCACAACACAATAAATTAAAAACAACATCAGAAAACAAGCTCTTTCATCTGTCATTTTTAAAACTCCAATAATTGCTAGTTCAAAAGCAAAATGTACACATACATTTCAGATTTTCTGGAAAATAATAATGAAAACACTACATTTGAGGACATTTGGAATTCATCTAAACCAGTGTTCAGTGAAATATTCACAGCATCAAATACATTTTTAGTAAACAGGAGAATGAAAATATATAAATCAACCCAGCTCAAAAGTTAGGGGAAAAATGGGGTGCCTCGGTGACTCAGTTAAGCAGAGTCTGACGTCTGATCTCAGCTGAGGTTTTGATCTCAGGGTCATGAGCAAACCCAGCGAAGGGCTCCATGCTGGTTGGGCGTTGGAGCCTAAGTAAAACAAAAAAACACAAAAAAGCAAAACAAAGACAGACTGCTTATTTATGCACTTATTGGCTTTTCTCCCTTTAGTGTCTCAATTCCCACTCCTTGTGCTTTTTGGGATCACCTTTGCTACAAAATGTTAAAACCAGAAGTAAATGAGTGAGTGAATAAACCAACCAACCAACCAAAGGAGAACACAAGAAAGCAATGTTAAGAAATGAAGAAACCGACTACAATTAAGCAGTGATGGAACGTAATGGTAAGGCAGTATGAATACATCAATATAAATTCATGTTTGTTAGGAAAAAAAATGTCTATCTAGCTCTGGCCATGAAATGTCCAGAAACAGTGTTACCCACGCGATGAAGAACACCCCTAAGACCCAGATTTTATTCTCCAATAGCATTCTCTGTTAACAAGATCCAAGGCTCCTTCAGGAATGGTTGATCCCAGATCTGGGTATAGGGAAGGTACAAGGTGAGCCTGAAGCAAGTTATTTTGTTCTAAAAGGAAAAGCAAGCAGTCAAAATGAATAGAGCTATTATTTTTTTTAAAGATTTTATTTATTTATTTGACAGAGAGAGATCACAAGTAGGGAGAGAAGCAGGAAGAGAGAGAGGAAGAAGCAGGCTCCCCGCTGAGCAGAGAGCCCGATGCGGGGCTCGATCCCAGGACCCTGGGATCATGACCTGAGCTGAAAGCAGAGGCTTTAACCCACTGAGCCACCCAGGCGCCCCAAATAGAGCTATTATTAATAGAGCAAAACAGAGTTAGAAGCAAGACCAAAGACATCCACACAAGTCAAAGATGTGTGGAATAAGGGATGGATTTTTAATGTGGGGGCTGAAATACATGGACTCAATAAAAAACTGAAGTCCAGGGCGCCGGGGTGGGTGGGTGGCTCAGTCAGTTAAGCGTCTGCTTTTGGCTCAGGTCATGATCCCAGGGTCCTGGGACGGAGCCCCAGGACAGGCTCCCCACTCACCAGAGAGTCTGCTTCTCCTTTGTGCTCTCCCCCCATGATCTCTCAATCAACTAAAAATAAAAGCTTTAAAAAAATAAATTCCTAAGTCCATAATGATACCAACACAGAAAAAGTCTGAAAATCTCAAGTTGCCATTTAAGATGACTAATAAACTGCTTCTTGAATTTGAAGATTGGTAAATAAAGGGGAAACAGCATCAATCATGACTACCTAGAAGGAAGTGAGCAAACAGACAGATGTGATGAAGGAAAGATTTAGTACGAAAAATGCCAGTTACTTACATAGAAGGAATAAAGAATTATAAAATCATCCCGTAACCCTTAATAAAATGGTTGACCCACACAAAGATTATCAAACAGCTGTCATTTGTTGATGGGAAACCATTTGCATAGTGCCAAGGTGACACCACATAGTTAGCTACAAGTGGAAAAATTAGCTGTTCAGTGAAAGGATCACACTGTCATCAGGCCAAACCAGTGATTTTTTTTTTTCCCCTCAAACCAGTGATTTAATACTGGGCCACCAAGTATTAATGTCTCTTATTATCTAATACTAATTCTAGCCAAAAATGTTTAACTTGAATCCTTCAAGCCTTGAGATCTAATTTCCAGTTTATAGGAATTACAAGGTACATGGACAGCAAAGTAAATGATACAGTGTGGAAGGAAGCAGAAAACTCCAGAGGGTGGGAAACTGGCCTGGGCTCATCAGAAACTCTGGGGAAAAAATGGGAGAAGGTAACTGTTCTACAGTAGAAAAGAATTAAGAGGTATCATGCCTCCCTGAGTTGAACAAATAAGCTTTAAATACATTTTAGAGGGGCACCTGGGTGGCTCAGTCAGTGACCTTTGGCTCAGGTCATGATCTTAGGTCCTGGGATCCCCAGCCAGCTCCATGGTCAGCCGGGAGTCCGCTTCTCCATCTTCCCACCCGACTGGTACTGTCTCCCAGCACCCCCAATGGTGCTTTCAAATACATAAAATCTGTAAAAAATAGATTTTGAGGGGCGCCTGGGTGGCTCAGTGGGTTAAAGCCTCTGCCTTTGGCTTGGGTCATGATCCCAGGGTCCTGGGATCGAGCCCGGTATCAGGCTCTCTGCTCAGCAGGGAGCCTGCCTCCCTTCCTCTCTCTGCCTGCCTCTCTGCCTACTTGTGATCTCTGTCTGTCAAATAAATAAATAAGAATCTTTAAAAAAAAGATTTTGGAAAAAAACAAGACTATCCGAACTTAGACTGCATTTAGACAACATGAAAATGAACTGATAGAGGAAAGATCATGAACTCAACAAAATACCTGGTTATAAAACAGCACAGAGTATGATCTCTTTTTGGTAAAAGGTACATGTGTGTACACACATATGCGTGTAAATACATATGTACATAAAAAGATACACAAATATAGAATAAAAAATCATCAATTATAATCTCTGGGTGACAATATCATGCTTTATTTTATGTTGCTATTATGTATTTTCTAACTTTGTACAATTCATATATACTTCTCTGGCAATATTAAAGGGTACCTTTCAGAAAAGTCAGTATAGTTTTATATATTATAGTGTTATATATTTTTATATTATCTATTTTTATACAGTTTTTATATTATAGTGTTAATATTCTGTGTGTTTCTACTGAAGGATATAAGCATCAAAATACTTGAAATAACATTTGCTACTAGACCATAAGTAGAAAATTCAAATATGGATATTTAAAACCCACCATACTACTGAGGCTGCTCTGAAGTGACTTATTACCTTCTAATCACTATTACCCCAAATGTCACCTTTGTCGTGTTCTTTAAAAACCCTTGTCACAAGGAATTAACGTGTCACACTCCACAAAAAAAATCCAACTCAGAGGTCATTTCAGTCCAAATTCCCTGGAGAAATTCTTGCCTCACCTCCTTTCTGTGATGGTTGGGGCTCAGGTCCTGTGCCTTTGAACTGGATTGCTGGGGGCTTAACCCATGTGCATGAAGATTCTTCATCTAGTATCTGAAGGGTCACTGTGTGCAAAAGGATTTCCTGTCCCAGAGCATGGGCGGAAACCTAAAGACAAGCAAGTCATTAAGCTTTAAGAATATCAAGCATTTAACAGAGATTACACCTCTGGAGGAGTGCCCAAGAAATATTCTCCCAGAGACTGTGAAAAAGAAGTGAGAAACCAGGGTCTTATTTCCCGTCCTGGGCACTGAGAAGCAGCCAGAAAGGTAAGCTAAGCAAAGTCTGACCAGGTCTTGTTTCTGTCATTTCACTATGTGTGTGCTGGGCCAGTCTACCCAACCTCTCTGAACTTAGTTTCCATGTATGCAAATTGGGAATGATTTCACCTACTTCTTTGTTGCTGTGAGAGTCGAGTGACCTTTAACGTAAGTAGCATGATGCTGCTCGTTCTATCTGAAATACAGAATGCCTTCAGTACCTGCTCACCATCCCAGAATCTGCTGTTCCCCGCCTCTCCCTCTTTACCTGGCTGGCTTAGCAAGAAGCTCGGTTCCCTGCTGAAACTGGGTTTTCCCAGTGTTCTCTGAATTCCACAAGAAAGTTTAGTTCCCAGCTTCCCACAACCACATTAGACCAGCGTCTTCCTACTTGTGCATTTCTCTTTCTTTCCAGGTCCTCCAGCATGGTGACAGCCTGCTCCCCGCGCTCCGGCTGATGCTCCCGCACCCGGGCCTGCAGCGCCTCCCGCAGGATGGTCAGGAACTGCTCCAGCACCAGCAGCTCCAGGGCCAGGCAGGTACAAGGGAGTCCCGGTAGCAGAAGGGTCTGAACTGTTGCCTGAAGATCTCCCAAGCAGGGGCTGGTTCTCTGGAGAGCTGACAGCCTGACCCACGGGGTAGTCCTCCAATTCCATCTTCACCATCGCACGCCCCCGCCAACCCCATCTGGCTTGGAATAACCGGCCAGCAGCCTTTCTTGTGCACACGGCCATCCTGCCTGGCTTCTGCTGGAGTGCCAACTGGGGGCTCCTGAGAGCATTCTGGGGACAGAATTAAAGGGGATAAATGGCAAAAGCTGTGAAGAACCCCACAAGAAGGAAGACCCGTAACCAGAGACACTAATTTTATTCATTCATTAAATCCACAAATATTTATTAACAGAGGCCTCCCTTGTGCAGAAACTGTTCTAGGTGTTCGTGCCCAAAGCAAAGCCCCTGCCATGCTGGAACGTCCGCTGCACTTGGGGCGATCAGCAGACACAAGGATGACCAGCACGCGCGAGGTCAGGGGGTGCTACGTTGTTGTCGGTGGGCACGGGAGGGTGTGGGCCGAGGAAACCAGCGGCGCGGGAGATGCCCGCAAGTCCCGCAGTAACTACACCAGTGAGGTCCCAGCCCAACGCAAAACTTACAAGCTTGTCCCTGGGCGCCGGGTCTTCCGTACTCGAGTCCGTCCGTCGCAACTGCTGGGAGAGAAGCCGTGAGGAATCCCCGTCAGCAAACCCGCACCCTTTTCTCACGCGAATCTGGCAAACGGAGGGCGCAGTCGCCCTCTGGCTCCCACGTGCCCGCGGCCGGGCTCGGCTGCTCCGGGATGTGTCCTGCGCGGGCCGCCCTGAGGCCAGGCCTCCGCGCCAGGTCCCCCTCGCCGCCACGCTCATCTGAGCCCCCGCCGCTGGGCTCCGAGGCCGAACCCAGCACCGCAGCGCGAGGGTCACCGAGACCTCCCGCCAGCCTCCTAGCGAGGCAGAAACCCGACTCCCGGAAGCGGCCGGCGGCTCTTGGAGGCCACGCCCCCGCGCGTCACTTCTGGCGCCTCCCGGAACACACGCAACAGATTGCAGAAGCTCGCTACGCCGTCGAAAATACGAAGTCATTTCCGTGGGCCTACGCTTCTCTGTCCGTTGTCTGAAATGCTAGAAAATAAGTAGATCACAGCATCGAGACAAGAATACTGACCTTCCAAGAATGTCCTGGATGGAAGAGGGAAGCTGATTTGTTTAGCCCTCCTGTCTGATAACAACAGGTTATTCTTGTTGAGTGGTCTGTAATTGACCAACATCAAATGACAGGAACAAAAGCCTGGCCTCGCCACGTGGAGAGAGCTTCTCATCAGCTGATGCACTCTGCGGGTGGTTAGCTTGCTTCCACTTATGCACTCCTCCCTGGCAGAAACAACCTGCTTTCTTGGGATGTGCAGACCGCTGGCCTTGAGCTGCGAAGGGCCAGGCTCTCCCAGAAGGCAAGGCCTGACTGCATTAGAGAGCAGCAAGCCTGTTCAGGGTCAGGTCCACATAAGAGTAATAGCGTGGACACCTGCTTCTCCCGCGTGCAACCCCTCCCTTTCCCCGTGCCTTCCCTTTACAGCCCTCTGGCTCGCCCTGGGTAGGGACGATGGTGCATCACCAGCAGCTCCGGGATCTGCTCCTTTGTGCGCACATCTGGCTTCAGCCACTGACGGCAACGATCCTGGGGCCTGCCTAGAAATTCGTGGGGTCCTCCTGGTAGCAGAACCGCCTGAAATGCTAGTGAGAGAGATTCCGGAGAGGAGGCACATTCCCAGTGTAGACTGCTCCTAAACATGTTCTTCTCTTCCAGTTTCCCTACGTGCAAACCTTTCCTTTCACCGGGAGTTTGAACGACAGGAGTCAGGGTTACAGGCAGCGACGGCTCAAGGGAAAACTCACTGGACTCGCAGTGGAGTCGGGGTGAAGTCTCTGGGCTCTGGGGGGTCAGAACGTATGTAAGCAGAATAACGTGGGCAGCGAACTTAGCTAAGACCGGTACCTCTCCAAGACTGCAGCAGTAAACCGAGTCGCACACACTTTAGGGACGAGTCGCTGCCGAGGCTACTGAAGCAAGTCTCTGCCGGGCGCCAGGAACCGGAGAAATCCCGCCCCCCCGGGCGTGCGCGTCTACAAGAACGCGGGGCTCTGGTCTGTGGGGTGAGGCGCCCGCGGCAGCCGGGGCCGGCGGAGCAGAGGGCCGCCCCACAGCCCTCGCCTCCACTCCCGCGCCCACCCTCTGTCGGGGATGCACTCCGGAGCGCCCGGTCTTCGCCGGGAGCCCGAGAGCAGAGCCGCGGCTTCGCAGGCCCAGCGGACGCGAGCGCGCCCCTAGACGCCGTCGGTCGCCGAGGAACCCGGTCCACGAGAGGCTACTTTCGTGTAGAAACCGGAGGTTTGGGCTTGTCTACGATCTGCGCTCTCGGCACGCGCGGTCGCCGTCCCCATGCCTGCCTCCGGTTCTCGGAGCCGCTCCCGGCCGCCCGCCCTGCCCTGCCACCCGGTCTCTCCTAGAGGACAGGCTCGCGCCCGGCCTGTGCCCAAGCCCCCACCCCCGACCCAGGTGCATTACTCGCGGCTCTCCTCGGCCCCTTCCCCCACGCTCCTCTGCGGGATGCGCACGGAAGCAGGGGCCGTATCACTTTGATGCGAGCAGCCCAGAGAAACACGCGTTGGTAGACCCTGCTGCGCCCCACCGCTCTCAGAACGCAGAGCGTGGGCCGCCAGTGGGCAGCGCCGCTTAGACTAACCGCGTAGACAACGTTCTTAACCTCTCCCAGTGCGTGCACCGCCGCTGCTTCAAGCTCGGATTTGGCATGGCGTGGCGCTTGTGGTGTGGGCAGAGGTGGACGCTGCCGCAAAGGAACATGGTAGATGGGACTAACAGCTGGGATCCGTGGACTGGGCGCACTGGTGGGTGGGCCTCACCCAACCAGCTGAAGGCCTTAAGAGGGAAAAGAACATACAAACAAACAAACACAGATCTATCCCCAAGAAGGAATTTTGCCCTAAAACTGTAACATGGAAATCCTGCCTGAGTTCCCAGTTGGCCAGCCTGCTTAGCAGGTTTCAGATTTAGCAACCCCCACAATTGCCTGAGCCAATTACTTTAAAAAATATATCATATTCTATTTTTCTGGAGTACATTTACTGATAAAATTCATCCTTAAAGTCCTACAAATGCCCATACCCCTTTTCTTCATATACCTTCCCAGTTCTTCCCAGCAGAGCTGTTTCTTGGTGTTCATTTGTTTCACATTGTAAGGGCCTGCCTCTCCCAGAGGAAAATACTTGTAAACCCCGGATGTAGGGGCGGGGCAGGCCGGATGAAGACATCCAATCAGTGGGGCGTGTGTATATCCACTAGGGTGAATTGAAATTCAATTGGCCACCTGTGTAGGGGCGGGGCTCAACCACCCCCCATAAAGGTTGGTCTGTGAGCCTGTCGGGAGCCGAAGGAGCGCTGTTGGAGGTAGAAGAAAGAAGAAGAAGAGTTGGCGGGAGCAGGAGAGCTCTTGTCAGAGCTGTGAGAGCTGCGGGCGGCCCCGATGCCAGTGGCCACGGGGGAGCGACCTAGTCGCCAGCAGCCTCCCCACCACTGAGACACCAGTGGCCCCAACGCCAGCAGTCCTGCCGCCTGGAACCGCAGCCCTTGACAGCCGTGCTGCGGGGAGCGGCCTAGTCACCACACCAGCAGTCTTGCTACCACGGAGAAGCGACCCCGTCGCGAACGGCCTCTATGCTGCAAATGGCCTCGCCGTCCAGAGCCAGGAGCGGCGGCCTTGTCGCCCTGAGCTGCAGCCCCGCCATGAGGGGCCTTGTCGCCCGGAGCCTCGGCCCCGCCCTGTGCAGCCTCACCACCCGTAATCGTGGCCCTGCTGGGAGCAGCCTTGCCATTGAGCGGCCTAGACTGGGATGCGGCCTCGTTGGTAAGCGGCTTCATCAGGGGCGGTGGCCTCCTCTGGGAAGCAGCCTTGTCAGAGTGGTGTCATGGGGAGCAGAGTCTGTGTCATCGGGGTTATCCTTGACATCATCGCTGTCGTCACCTCTTCGTCATAAGGAGCGGCCTCCTCCAGAGTGGCCTCTTTGGGAGCAGCCTTCTCCAGGGAGCAGCCTCACTGGAGCAGCCCCTGTCTGGGGAGTGGCCTCATCAGCAGTGGCCTCGTCCTGGGAGTGGCCTCCTCTGTGGAGCAGCCCCATCCAGAGCAGCCACGTTGGGAGCAGACTTGCTGGGGTCATTGTCGTCCCCTTTTTGTAAGAGACAGCCCTGACCGGTCAGTTTGATTCTTGATGCTTGGCGTGAAATAAAGCTTTGCTTGACTTTTGCTTTGTAGCAGTCTCATTCCTTTGATCATGGACCCTAACACTTCTTAGATTGTAAATTCATCAAATGTGAATTCATATTTACTTTTTGTATATACCCTTAAAATGCATGACGTATATGAATACAGTGACCATTCTGTAAACACACAACAGCTTCAGAAATCTACTAGCCAAGTCACCATGCAGAGAGCTGTTCTCTCTACTTTTGAAAAGTTTTGCCCACAAAGGTCAAGTTATTGACATTTACAGTATGTGTTTATTATTTTCACTTAAGCTAAATCAAGAAGTAATCCTACTTTTAAAATCCTCAATTAATGGTTTCCCATTGTTTTGCAATCTATCAAAAAGGCCAAATGTGGGGTGCCTGGGTGGCTCAGTCTGTTAAGCCTCTCTTGGTTTCCGCTCAGGTCGCAATCCCATTGGTAGTGAGATGCAGCCCCACAGTGGGATCCACACTCAGCCAAAGATTCTCTCCCTCTGCCCCTCCCTAACGTGTGCACTTGTTCTCTCTCTCAAGTCTTTTTTTAAAAAAGTAAAAGTTGACTCCTTCTTGTTTCTATTTTCTCTGCCATTAAACATAAACCTCTTCTGAACTAGTCATTCTCCAGATAAGCAAGTTCACATCTCCAGGACCCAGTCACATAATGAACTGGGGGGTGATGATGCCAATGAGGTCTGCCCCAATGATGCCAGATCTTCTTTTTTCAAAATAAAATGGAAGTCCCATTTTTTACATAAAAATCTCTAGATTTTTTAAGTTGGCAACTAATTCAATTCTTAAAAACAATGAATGAGCTACACAAGTGTCCGCAAAACTATCAACTTTTGACTGCCAGGTTTCATCTCTGGCATAAAATTCGTACTGCCAGAGAGTTAGTGCATCAGCACATTTCATGGGAAAATTCCTCCAGTTGGTTGAAAATTCCTTAAATATACAGGTCTTCTGTGAAAGCCTATATTTTAAATTTCAAAGTGCCTAACTTCTGGGAGATTTATCCACTTCTTTCTTATTTTTATCATATTTATCAACTTCCCTCTGGTCTATAGACTTCCACCTCCCAAGTATTTCCTATCTCAGCCTGGAAACAGGGCTGAACAATGAAAGTACTCTGATGGGGGAAAAAAAAAAAGAAAGAAAAGAAAGTACTCTGATGGCAGTAAGTGTGAACAATTAGCACCTCTAGAGTTTCCTTGGTTGGTATTTATTCACAACATCCCCCCAAAATAGGAATATAGAGAAATACCCAATTCTTATATATTTTCTAATTTATAAGCTTTCTAATTTCTCAAGTCCTAATAGTGAAAAGCATATTTCATTCAAAGTAGAAGACAACAGCAATGCTTCTCAGACTGTTTATCCAAGGCTGAAAAGACAAACTAAAGCATAATGAGGACATAAGCATCAGATGATTGGAGTGGAGAGCGCAGAAGCTGAGCTTGAAACATCTGTTGGTTTTTAGCATAAGAAAGTCACAGGGATGCAGAAGCATTACAGACTGTGGCACCTGATGTCTCTTCAATCCCACTACTAGTGATCCCCTCCAGCTGGAGTGCTGGATGGCCAAAGGTAATTCTGGGATTTTTTTTTCTCCCTAGAGATAAACTAGAGGAGAAATATGTATCACTGAGATTTAAAAAGACAGAAAGAGGACACATGAATAAAGTACAGAGTTGAGGATACAAATATACATAATTCTTTGCCAAAACCTGGGCCTTTCTCCTAAGCTGACAAAGTGCACAGCAAGGACTACAGTTGTGTGTGCTGCTTTGGTATCTTCGAGCCTTGTGGGGACCCAAAGGCTTAACCATGGGATCTCCTGCTCTCACTAGGTGTGCCCACCCAGCAGGAAGTGCTCCCCCCAACTGACTAGTTCCACATCAACTAGACTAGCTGTAACCCACCCCGTCCTAAACCCAAGAGATCTCACCTCTTTACCTGTGCAGAAAATCATTCAAACGACATCCTCCCAAGAAGACCAGGGGTCACCTCATCCTCTTGTTTCTACAAACCCTGAATCCCAAAGCCCCTGTTTGTTCACTGTGCTCCCAAGTGGCCCCCATATGGTGTGCTGTCCTCCTGCCCTGGGCTGTGAGTGTGATTGATAAACGGCTGTCAAGCCCATCTCTCTAGCGGTCAGGTATCCTTGTTTGGCTATCGTCAGAATACTGGGGTGAGCTACCCCCCTCACCACCAGGGTGAAGGAGAAGCAAACAAAAAGGGCAAGCTATAGTCATTTTGTTTTGTATTTCTTTTTAAAGATTTTATATATTTATTTATTTTAGAGAAAGGGAGAGCACATGTGGGGGAAGGAGCAGAGGGAGAGGGACAAGCAGACTGTGTGGTGAGCAGAGAGTCCAACATGGGGCTCAGTCCCACAACCCCGAGATCACGACCTGTGCCGAAATCAGGAGTCCAATGATAACCAACTGAGCTGCCCAATAGTCATTTAAAAACCTATTCCTGGGGCACATGGATGGCTCAGTTGGAAGAATAGGCGACTCTTGATTTTGGATCATGAGTTTGAGTCCCATGTTGGGTTTAGAGAGTGCTTAAATAAAAACTAAACAAACAAACAAAAAAACAAAAAACAAACTAGCTTCCTACCTTACCCCTCACTTACCAGACTTTATAAACATCACATGCCCCACTCATCCTGCTAAGTTCTTTGCAGAGCATGCGTACCAACGGTCTCAGTGGTCCTCTGTCCAAATCATGGGAGCCACTGTATCATCAAGATACTCAGGGTGTGATGACAGCGACTTGGAGAAGTGCCAATGGACCACAAAGGAGGAGCCTGGAAGACCAGGAGAAAGAGAAGCATTCACAGCAGACACCAGCACGATGCGGCAGTCTGCTCCCGTGATGTTATCAGCTTCTTTCAATGATATCACAGTGATATGATATCACTCTCTATTCCGATATGACTGCCTAGAATAAGAATGGAATGGATTTACCACATTCCTGATTTCTTGAATTTACTACAGAGTGATAGGGTCTGTATTCCTCACAGGTCTCTAAAGTGTTCAGAGAGCCCTGATTTATGATTAAAGGCTCTCTTACAATTAAGATACACACACAGACTTCTGCCCTCTGTGGATTCTCCGATGATGAACAAGGCTTGACC